GAATTTTCTACAGATTCGCCGCCTGGAAGACTGATAACTGGGGAAACTCGCACCTGGGTGATGATCTCACAATGTTGAAAATCAAATGTTCGAGATGAGATTTTTAGTTGAAACATTTAACGTAAGCGACTAACTTCAAATAAAGGGAGCCGCCCCCCCAGTCAGTCTCCCGGGTAGCTATATGGCCCCATCGCTAATTTCCCGGTGCCTCAGGCCGGCGTTGTTGACCCGACTGGGGGCGGAGGAACCGGGGCGAAGCGATCGGCCCCAGGCTTGGGCCCTGGATCCCAACGAAGCCAAACCCGACACCCAGAGGCCGTTCCCCGGCAAACACCGCAGCGCGCGGCGAGCACCGGGCGGCCGGCAGGGGCGCGCCGAGGTCACCGGTCCCGCAAACGGCCATTGGACTCGCTCCCCCAGGCAGCGCGCGGTAGGAGGGGGAGGAACTAAGGGCGCGCGCCCACAGGAGGAGTGTCCATGGCGACGGGGGCCCGGCCAGGCCACGCGCCGCCAGGGCTCCGACGACGGACGGGGCAGGGGAGGAGTCCGTCGCTGGCTGCCGAACCCCCACCCCCCCGACGAACAAACGTCTGGCGCCACCCGCCGTCACGTGACTGTCACAATACGACAGGAGTGGCCGCCTCAGCCCAAGCGAGCGGACGCCAGCAGTTCGCTGGGAGTGGGACGCAGCGAGCCGCCTCCACACATACACCCCCCACCAACCCCGCCCAACGCGCCTTCCTCGCGCGCCAGGCCCCTCCTACAAACGCGTCGCATAGCGGAAGAAGTGGCTTCCGCTCCTCCGCGCGCCCTCCCTCCACGTGACCTCCACCCGCTCTAGTAACCGGCTACTAGTACTGGCTGGGGCGAACGAGCTCCCAAGCCCGTTGCTGCTGCGGCAGCAAAGGCGCGAGACGGGCGCGCTGGGTCCACAGCGTGCTCAGCGCCTTGCGCCCTTTAGTGCACGCGCGCTGTGTGGCGAGAGGTCACGCGCCGCTGCCCCTCCTCTCTCCCGCCTCAGCCCCGGCCACACGCCCTCCCTCAGGCTCCCGCGCGCCGCTGACCTGGAGCAACAGCTTGACCCGCTCAATGGGCGCCACTGCGGTTTTGCTGATTGCCGCGGCCACGCCGCCCGCCAGGAAGTCCTTGGCGAAGGAGAGGGCCTGCTCCGCCATGTTCTTGCTGAGCCGGGAGCCGCTGGGGGAAAAACCCACCGCAACAGCCACGCACAGAGAAAAAAAAAGGCAGGATCATCTCCGCGCATGCGCTAAACGCCCGAGCCCGCCGGGCCCGCCCCCGCCGCGCCATTGGCCGCCCGGCTGCAGAGAGGCGGGGCCGCCCTGCAGTTCTGCTCGGGCCCCCGCTTCCGGCCGCGTCGCGCGCTCGCTGTGACGTCTCTGTTTCAACCTGACGGCGCAAGCCCTGTCCCGCCGCGCGCGCTCCCCGGCCTGGGGCTGATGACAGGCAAGTCTTGGCAGACACCGGCCCCGCTCACTCCCGCCCGAATGCAGCACCGCCCTGGCGCCTAGAGCCCAGCTTTCCGGCCTGGCTGCCGCGTCCTGCCCGCTCCCCTCCCTGCCCGGCAGGCACCTGCTCGCACCTCCGCGGCTGCTGCTCCTCCTCGGTAGGTGCCGGTATCAGCGCCGCATTGCACAAGCCGCTGGGCGCCCTCTGCCGTAGTGTGGCACACGGGGAAGGCGGCTTACGTGGCTGATTTACAGCTGCTTCCCTCGTCCGCCAGATGTGCATTTTCTCCATCTCTCCGTTTGAAACGCTGCTGTCTCAACAGAGTGACAGCGCAGCTAGCAACGCGCTGGCTGCTTCTAATCTCACGTTAAACGGGCTAGGAATCCTTCCTCGGTTATTTATGTAGCTCCCGTTTCTGCCAGCCTTACCCACGCTGACCAGCCCCATTGATTTATAGGGCAACAGATGGAGTAGAGAAGCATTTTAATGCCAAAAGAAAAAAAAATACAGCCTCCCATTTGCTCCTCCTTTTGTCTTCATGGCTCTTCTGCCTCATTATAGTTGTCATTGCCCATGCCTTTCGGTGTCACCAAAGGTTAAAATATAAATTTTTAACAAAATGGCCACATGAGAAATCTGAGAATCATGTTATGTATTTATTTAATTGAAAAAAAAATGCTTCATTGTGAGACTGGTGAGGCTGCACAGTTAAATGTTAAGGTTGCACATGCAACGTTAATTCTTTCTCCTTGTGCCTGTACGTTGTGGTGCAATCTTTAATCACATTATTTAAAAAAATACAGTATACAATCTTTTCTATAACATTAAATACCTACATTAATTTAATTGTCATAAAGGCCACATATGTATTAAATTATACTTTGCAATTGATAACCTTTTTTCTTTCTAAGATATGCAATTTAATAGTTTTGTCAGCAACCATGTAGTATATACATTTTCTTTTCCACCACCAGCACAGCTTTAGATACAATTCAGGGGTGAGGCAGTAAACTATATATCTGATATGCTTTATCAGCAAAGTTATTCAATTCAGAGGATGATCCAGTTGACTATGAAGCTAGGTGAGCTGTGAATATTTTCTTCAGTGCAGTTCAGAGATGAGACTCTTACCCAGAAAGCTAATTTACGGGTTTGACCTGCAGTGAACTCGGTGTGGGTGTGGTGTTACTGTGGTTTTAAGAGAATGAATAGATTCTTCATGGTGTGGGAACTGACAGTTGGATGAAGCAGTTGACTTTAGGTTAGGCTGATAGATTGCCTGGAGTTAAAATGCTCTGTATATATGTTAACAATGTAGCTAATAAAGACTGTTAAATTACTAGCAATGAATTATTATTAAGACTTGTGGATTACTTGAATATAAAACAACACAGTGGGTTCTACAGGGCAGTAGAGATCTGCCTCCATAGAGCTTGTCTACACTTAGTCCTGCAGCGGCACAGCTGCACCGGTGCAGCTGCTCTGCTGTAGTGCTTAGTGAAAATGCTGCCTATGCCAACGGGAGTGTTTCTCCCATCGGCGTAGGTATTTCACTTCCCCGAGAGGCAGTAGCTGTGTCGACGGGAGAAGCCCTCTCGTTGACATAGCGCTGTCTAAACTGGGAGTTCGGTCGGTGTCATTGCGTTGCCCTGAGCAATGTAGTTATACTGACATAAGTTTTTACTGTAGACCAGGGCTGGGCCTTTACTGCAAACTTATGCACCCTGTACATGCTATCAGTTCCCATGTTCCTCTTTATTCTATGCTGAAAGTATATTGCAAACTTACAAGCCACACTTCTCTCCGACATTATACCTATTTTTAAAAGTAACATGTAAAATTAGGTTATATCTGAAAGAGATTAGACAAAAAAAAACGTTATTTTTTCAGCTGTGCATTCGACAGCACTTTGTGTATAGCTAGTTTAATTCTTTTCCCTCTAATAATTTTTACCTGTCCTTTGTGTTGACCTTTCATACAACATGAAACAAAGAAAAAAAAATTAAAACCAGGAAAGTATGATTGAATAACCACAAAAATTGCAGCCCATGAAACAACTGTTAACTCATTTATGTAGTTGACTACATTTCAAAATGACAGTGCCCTTTTATCCTAAAGTGTCATATAACAAGATGCTCTATATGCATCTAAGAATGTTAAGGAAATTATATGCTATTTTAGGACCTGCTCTTATAACTAAATTCACAGGAGCAGACTCCAGTGCCCATACAGATTTAGTTGCTGCTGGATCAATACACATGCACAAGGGTGGCACATGCAACCTTTTTCAGGCAGAGCAGGGACCTGAGCCTGCATCTTCTGCTTCACAGCTAAATCCCCTAACAATTGGGATATTGCAGTGATTCTCAAATTTTGTACTGGTGACCCCTTTCACATAGCAAGGCTCTGAGTGCGACCCGCCCCCTTATAAATTAAAAACACTTAAATATATTTAACACCATTATAAATGCTGGATGCAAAGCGGGGTCTGGGGTGGGGGCTGACAGCTCATGACCCCCCATGTAACAACCTCCCAACCCCCTGAGGGCTCCCGACCCCCAGTTTGAAAACCCTTTGGATATTGGCTATGGTAGGGGGAGGGGAACCTACACATACTTTAACTAGAAAGTTCATCCTGGACCATGAACCCTTTTCCAGTGAAAATTTAATTGAAACTGATACGTACCCATGAAAAGTTTTGATTTAATCAAATTGGCATTTTCCACCCAACTCCTCTTCCCCACCGAAAAAGGAAAACAAAAACCCGTTCTGAGGCTTAAGCATGCAACTTAAACTTCTTCTAATATGTTTTGTATGGAATTTATTAGGTTTTTAAAATAAAAATATGGTGGGGTGTGTGTACACATCTAGAATGGAATTGACATGAGCAAACACTTGAAGAAGAACATGGAGAGCCGCACTAACATCCAAGGGAGAGAGTTGGGGGGGAACGGCAGCATGTTCTGGTCTAGAAATAAGGCCAGCCTACACAACACAAAGCAACAACGTAGTTCATTAGCAATGCCAAAATTATTGTATGACTGTTGGTATGTCTTCTGATTATGGGGTAACTTTAAAAAGTACTAGCAATTCAATGAAGACAGAACATTACTGCTGCCAAGTGAAGAGGGTAGCTTCTGGCCAGGGCTGGCTCCAGCTTTTTTGCTGCCCCAAGCGGCAAAGAAAAAAAATAAAATAAAAGATAAAGCCACAATGGGCGGCACTTCGGCGGCAGCTCTACCACGCCGCTTCATTCTTCGGCGGCAATTCGGCGGTCAGTCCCTTCCTCCAAAAGGGACTGAGGGACCCGCCACTGAAGACCCGGACATGCCGCCCCTTTCTATTGGCCACCCCAAGCACCTGCTTCCTTCACTGGTGCCTGGAGCCAGCCCTGCTTCTGGCATTTTACTCACATTTCGGAATGGATATAATCGCTCTCAATTATTGAAGTAGTTTCAGAAAGCTTCCAAAGTCACATATCTCTTGCATAAGCTGTTGATGGGAAACCAATCCTATAATAAAAATCATCAGATGCGATTGCTGATGTATTCTGGTTTTTATTGCCAAATAACATTTCTTTATTTCTTAGTGCAGAAAACAAAACACATTTCCTGTCAGTTTAATTTCTACATTTGTGAAGCCATGGTGTTCCAGTAAACATCTATATTCGGAGCTATTCCTCTCCTTTCCATCTATCTGGACAAGCATGTTCAAGGACTGCAGCAAAGCTGTGCTCCTTCTTTTCTTCTCATCATCCAACACCATTTTAGCCAGCAGAATTCCACAGCCTAATTTAAACAAACAAACAAAAAAACCCCATAATACTAATCTGTGATCAAATTAAGAAAAATTACAACGGCCACATAAAATTGCTTAAAAAATAATACTAGTGGTCTAATTTTGCATTTCAGATGTACTCTCAAGTTACTAGACCAAAATGAGTATATACATACTGTATACATTAGCTCCTTGTAGAGAAAACAATGCCACTTTCTTTCACAAGATCCAGGGGACATATACCATCGGGCTAGATCACCTCTGTTTCCGTGAGAGGTGGGCTCAGATCTGGTGGACCTGGGTTGGGGTGTGTTTGTGCGGAAGAAATAGGGGTAATGCCACCTTTAGGATCAGGATTTTATAATTGTACTATGAGAATTAATGTATGATTTGATTTCATCCTGCCAGCCACCCTTTTTGAATAGCAGAAAGCAATGACAGACCAAAACAATCCTTATGACTGATTACGGTCACCCTTTTGTTTTAGGATAAATTATAATGTCTACTATGGTTTCCTATATGTATTACAAATTAGGCACTCTAAGTATATTTCTTTGTTTTAAGGTTTAGAAAATAAGAGACAGGATTTTGTATTGTCTATGATAAATAGATTAGAAAAATGTTGAGGGCCTGAACCACAATGTGAATTGTTTTAGTTGTAAGATTTAGCAAGGCTTGATTTACACTGTATTCTGCTGAATATAAAATACTGCTGTCTGTATACCTTTGAAGGTTTTTGTAAGAGATTGTGTGAATGAGGAATGCATGCATCAGGAAAAGATGAGGTATCAAAGCCATCACAAATGTCAGATGATCAAGAAAAAGTGAGAGACTTGGAAAGACCAGGAGACAAATCAGAAAACATCCATTGTATCTGATGCCAAAAATGTTAGCAGCATGGACGACCTCAGAGGTGAGGCAGGCACCCCCGAAGGCGAGACAACAACTAGGAGATAACGATGGGAAGCCGGACAATAACCATCAAATGATAACAGCAGAAAACCCCAAGATTAACACCACTTAAGGACTAATGATTACAGGATGACATTGCAAAATGCATGGACTCAAATGGGAATTTACAACTATAAAGCTGGGGTGTTTTGCCATGGAACTTTGGGTTCAGTCCTGCAAAGCATTGGATCGTGACCGACAGAGCCCAGCTCCTCACTCATGCTTAATCTAACTGGCCATTAGATTGACTCAGGCTACAACAGACTGGTAACTATAAACATCAACTGGTGTGTATGTGTGTGTAAAGCATATGCTAACTGTTGTATTTTCAATAAATGCGGCATATTTGCCTTCTCCTCTATAAAAGATCCCGTGTGCGTCTTATAAGTATAACAACCTCAGTGTCACTCACTGTCCCTATCGTCTCTTAAAAAACCTATTATTTACATTTATATTGCAGTAATCTTCAGAGGACAACTGGAGGACTAAGGATGGGGAGCATTGTACTAGGCACTATCCAAACATAGAAAGTGACAATCCTACAGAAGCCCCTCCACAATTCTTCCCTGGGGATAGGGTTCTTTGAGGTGAGGAAGGCCCAGGTGTGAGAATAGAGGGAAGAGACAATGGTGATGCTATTTTCCACTGCATCTTCCTACCTCTTCCACCCAGTAGGGAATATCAGAGTAAGAGAATGCTGACCAAATGAACATTAATTTTACTTGCTCTTCTCCACTGCCCTGTGCAGTCATTTACATCAGTGCAAAGTGGGTGTAAAATGCTAACAAATCAGACCAAGAGGTAACATTTTACACTCATTTTGTACCGATATAAATGCCTGCACAAGGTGCAGGACAACAGTGAATCAAATCCCATATCTATGTTCTGCCCCTTGCGATGATTACCTCAGAGGCACTCATGACAGTATGGCTCCTACTGGCAGGTGAGAAGCTTTGAGAGGCATATAGCTTCTTTGTGGATTGCCCAGGGCTCTGATGTATGGGTTATGGGGACCTAATCCCCTTTCTGTCAAGGGTTGAGCATATTGCTGGAGTTCAATAAATAATACAATAAATCAGCTGAAGACATGAAATTCCTTTTGGCTGGGAATGGATAAAGTCCTCTGTCCCAAACCCTGCCTTACAGAGTGTACATACAGCATGCCAAATTCTCACCAGCAGAGAATTTAGCTTTATATAACTGAGGCAGATTTACACCTTTTGAAATAAGTGAATGCTCATTTGGTCATACAACCTGAATACATACAGATTCTGTATTAGGATGTTTTTCCCCTCCCATCCCAGCAACTTTCCTCCACCTGCACAGGCAGAACTGCTGCTCCTGCTCACACTGCAAGTGTTGCTATGTGGAGCAAAGCAAGGCTAGCACTTCTAGGCCACTGCGCCAGCCTTATATTAAAACAGTTGAAGGGTCCTCCCTGGACACTTTGCAAGGAAAACATGAATAGCAAGGCAACTAATATGCTACAGCAAATCACTCAAACATTAGGGACATCTGAATGCCATGAACACAATGTGGACAAAACATATGCAGGGAAATTAAACACGGCCAGTCTGGGAAGGATGCCCATATACCTTACAGAGAGCAAGTGATGATTAGCATAGAAAAGAAAAAAAAGACAACTATAGGTAAGGAGTATTTTACAGTAGGAACGACGATCCTTCTCGAGAAAGGCTTAGACAGAATTTAACTTGGGTTCAAGGCTTGTCATCCTTATCCTTCTAGAAGCAGAAAATACTAGGTGAGGTTCTTTGATCTCTTTGCAGGTCAGGAGGAAATGATTGTAAATGGTCCTTGCATTAGCCCAATTCTACACTGGTGTAACTCAAATGAAATTACATTGCTATAAAACAGGAGCGACGCAGCAGTGAATCATGCATTGTATGTTTTGAAAGCTGCAGAGAGAAATCAGAGGTAGAGACATGTATAGGATAGCCCTATAAAAATTAATTTTAAAAGTTCTTGCAGCAAGGCAGCAATAATACACAAGGGCTTCCATTTAGAATAGCATAAGAACATGGGAAAATAGCAATGGGCCCATATATTACACAGTGACTGCAATGGAAGGGCAGTGGGTGGGGGAAAGAGAAAAAGGTAAGTCTGGTGTTGCACAATATAAATGCTTCAAGTAAAAGTAGATGACCTGTGTGTCAGGGCCACTGCAGATTATGTTCTCATTTCTAAGAATGGCAACTAATCTTGTTACAGATTACCCCTAATCCTCATTTATTTTAATAGGCTGGTTCTGTGCAAGGGCAATGTTGTACTCATTCTCTCTCTCTCTCTCCATCAAATGGGCTCAATTGGAACCATGAACCTAGTCTTCAGCTCCTGGTGGTTGGAGTACTTCAAAAATGAGGGACGTTATTGCTGCTACCTAGTGTCCCCCCGCTCCCTCCATCAACCAATTTAATCCTCACTTCAAGTATAACATGGCAAAACTCCCATTGACTTCCATGGTAGTAGGTTTAGGCCCATTGATAAAGTTCTGTGGGCCAGGGATGCTGCTATTGCTAGAGTGCTTCTCAGCAGGCAAGGCTTGAAAGTATATGAGGAGGGGGAGGTGGGGCTTGCCTAGGCTGCAGCCACAAACCTGCTCTGTAGTTGACCAACCCCAACACTTTGCCTCAGAAATGGAGTCCTTAACTCCATCCCCAATAAGACAGCTGGAGACATGGGAAAGGTCAGGGAGGAGGTGGTGCCTCTCCTAACAACCCATCATGGTGGAAAGACAGCAGGGGATGCAATGAGGGAGCCTGGAAGCCCCCCTGCTCCATCCTAGGACAACGACAAACTGATCCAAAACTAAACTGGCAGCCAAGAAGAGGATGAGGGGGCACAGCCTTTAGACAATACTGCCTAAACTCCTGCACTTGGGGCTCATATTGAGCCACACCACAGCCCCTTTGCTCTCCCAGGCACAGAAAGAGGTTAATATCTGTAGTGAGAGTGCTAGGGCTGCCATTTTTCTATTGGGTCAGGGGGAAAAAATCCAAACAAAACTCTTTGTTTTACATCCCCCCCAGCCCTCAAGGATTCTTCTCAGCTTATCATTCAGTGAGTGAGCATCTGAGCTCTCTTTTCTCTTATTTCCCTCCCTGTGTCTACTGACCTTTTAATCCCCAATATTTTATACCTTTTTACATTCATTTGGTGATCTACTTGGTCTCTCAGACATAACAGTTCCATTACCTGATTTGTCTGGACTTCCTCTATGCCGTTTATACAGACATCCGTAAATGATCCCACATTCAAATAAAAGTGTTGGATGAACTTCTGATAAGTGAACTGAATTCATATGAACATCCTCTCATGCATACGAAATCAGACACGCAGACACAAACACAGTTACATTCATTTCAGTGGGTGGAGGTCCTGATATCAACATGGGCATTCCTACTACTGTGAAGCAGCTTACCACCAAACAGCAAGTAGTGAACAAGTGGACTTTAGTACTGGCAACAGTTCAGACATCTGGATGATACAAAATAATCTCTCATTAAAGATTATGCAGATTTGGATAATTAATTTTAATGGCTCAAAATTATCCTTGACTTAAAACATTGTTCAGACAGTTTTTTCAATAAGGAAACTTTAAGACCCAGTCATTATAACAATAGTGAATAGAAACGAATTTTGTCCAGGGAAGCGGCCTATTAATGTTTGTACCTTTATAAAATCAGATTATTGGTCTGTCTAGTATTCGGAATGTCTATCACTCTCCCAATAATTCTGTAGTATTTAAAATGATCATAAACTCCTCTCCCTGCCCTGCCCTGAATTCCTTGCACACGCTACACTTCCACTGAACTCAGTGGGAGTCTTGACAGTGGAAGGAATAGGCCTGTCAACAGCAAGTGAAAACGTTGCAAATGTCTTTCCCCTCTGCTCTCTGAAAGACATACAGCATTGATCTTTCCCGCATGTCAGCAAATCTCTCTGAAATAGTTTGGAGACAAGCTAACAGCACACAGACACCCGCTGTTGAGCAAAGCACATTCTCCTGCAGCTCATTAGCCACCCTTTGTGAGACATTCAAAACCAGTTAGCGAAAATGATTTTAGCTGTCCCGGTTCACAAAGAATGTTATTTGTTTCAACAGCTGCTTCAGATGCATGTCTTATATGGACTTTTCAAAAGGTAAGCTTCCCCCCCTCCCCCCAACTAATTTTGCAAAGTTAAAGTTAATGCAGACACCCAACCTCAAGGGATTAATGTGGAGTAAGTATATAACGTTGTGCTTTTCTAGTTTAAGACACTGAGTTTATGTTTTAGTCAATTGTATTCTATAAAAGTTTGAAAAACAATAAGTGAGTATACAATAATCAGAGGGCATAACATTAATTTGACGGTATGGTAGAATATGATAGTTCTACAGCTTATGTAAATCAGTCACATGCTTGGTGAGACAGAATCAAACAGTAAAACTTCCATCTGTTGAAATAATAATGCTATCTTTTTTAATGCAGACCAATTAAAAGCAGAAAAAGACCTTTTTTGTACCAAAACAGAGAGAAACTTGTTTTTAGTTTTAGTTTTCAGTAGCTGGATATACAGCCTTACCAAATTCTACTCATCCGGGCAAGAAACTGCTACAGGTAAATAAAAATTATCATTATTATAGGAAAACATGGGTAAGTAGAGGGTGACAAATTTTCATGATGAATTTGCATGGTTGAAACATATTGTAATAAATATGTCCCTCATTGATAATTTAACTCATCCGGGCCCCTTTACCCTGCTCAGTGCTCAAAGAGAAAAGTAATTATGTTAATGACAGACATTTATGGTGCACTTGAGAAGACAAACTCTGCCAGACAAAACTATATAATTCTTGCCCTTGCTAAACAAATCTTTGAAAGTTGCTGATGTCAGCAGCTGAGTGTAAGTACAGCCTCTCCTCTTTTGTCCTGGCTGAGTGGGGATATTGCTATAGAAATCTGCTGCAGTCAGTAAATGCACAACTTCCCAGAGATGAAAAACAGTAGCTTTATTTACAGGCAGGAGGGGTTCCACTATAGGTTTAGCAAAATATATTTTATATGAAAAAAAGTCACTATTGAAGAGTTATTAGAAAAAACAGCACATGAAATAGTGCGAAAACCAGAGTGACAAATTAATTGATAATCTGAACATACAATATATACTTATCCCTCCAATTAAAAATCACAGCATGAAAAACTGGCATTTCTATATTCCTCTTCTATCAGCATGGAGTTGGAAAGAAGGGAAGAGCAGTAGTATTTATATAAGGAAATACAGTAACTCCTTGCTTAACGTTGTAATTATGTTCCTGAAAAATGCTACTTTAAGCGAAAAGATGTTAAGTGAATCAAATTTCCCCATAAGAATTAATGTAAATGGCGGGGTTAGGTTCCAGGGAAATTTTGGTGAAGTCAGAGGGTGGGATATTTCCCAGGGAATGCCTTACTGCTAAATGATCAACTAGCACTCGGCTGAGCCCTCAAGGGTTAACACGTTGTTAATGTAGCCTCACACTCTACAAGGCAGCAGGAATGGAGGGAGGGGAGACAGCATGGCAGAGAGAGACAGAGACACACACCGTGTGTGTGAGAAAGACACGCATTGCCCCTTTAAGTATGCTGACCCCAATCTAAGTACCCTGCCTTTTTAAGTAGATCAGCAAGTTGAGACAGCAGCTGCTGCCAGCAAGCTCCCTCTGTCCTGAGCCCTGTCCTGTCCCCACCCTGCTCTATGGAGATGGGGGGCAGAAGTGGGGGGAGGGGAACACCCTGACATTAGCACCCCTCTTCTCCCCCCCAAACACCTCCCTCCCCCTGCACAGCAAGCAGGAGGCTCCCGGGAGCAGCTCCAAGTCAGAGGGCGGGAGCAGCACAGGGCAGTGGGGGAGGGACAGCTGAACTGCCCGGCAATTGATAGCTTGCTGGGTGACTGCCATAGTGGGGAGCAACTTTAAACGAGCATGTTCTCAAATTGATCGGCAAGTAACAACGAAATGTTAACTGGATGACTTTAAGTAAGTGAGGTGTTACTGTAAGACAGAAAGAGGATGTCACCATCTAACCCTTTACCACATGGAATCTCCTCTCGAGAACAGCTGTATTTGAGTGGTATCATTCAGGCTCTCAGTTTGAGAGAGTGTGGGTGGCCAATTCACTTGTAAGACAGCCTCTACAGAGGCTGCAGTGAAATTATGGTCACTGTAGGACCTGAGTCTACAGTAATAAAGATCCTTGTGACATGACAGCTATGGGTGGGAGTTTCACAGACACCTAAGTGACGAAGGGGCACTTGCCTATGATCCTAAGACACTTCTGAAAATCCCACCTTTTTCTTTTTTTTATTCCTGTTTGCAAAAACATGCATTTCAAGGTTGTTTCCCTCTTCTGCTTCTGAGCAAAGCACTAAGTCCAATGAGCAAAAGGAAAGAGCACCCCAAAATTGCCAAAGTTGTACAAAGTGCACTTTTGTAAAGACAAATGCAATGATTGGTAACTACTGAATAAGTTGCTTAAGGAGCAAGAAAATTCCTGCAGCTTTCGACCATTTTCCAGAGAACTTTATACACAGTTCATACTGTACCTAAGCAATTGACAAAACAATCCATATTATGGCTGGTTGATGGTTGTATGAAAGTTAAGTTACAAAAGCTCAGTGCCACACTTACTTGCAGTGCAAACTAATGTGCAGAAGTTTTCTTAAAGCCCAAAATCGCATCTAAAATGTTTCCTGTAATCTTAATTTGCACATTGGTGAATCCATATTTCTCCAGTAGTTGCTTATACTCCGAGCCACTTCTCTGCTTGCCTTCAGTCATACTGAGGGACTGTAATACTGCTCTAGGAGGGTGTGTCTTCTCTTCATCAAGCACAATTTCTGCCAGTAGCAAGGCACTTCCTGTGTTTCCAAAACAACAACCAAAAATGGTTCAATAAAATATTCTTAGCTTCCAAACTGCAATGCTGTTGGTTCAAATGCTATTATAAATGGGGAAGATGTGTACCTAAGATTGATGTGTTAGTGAGTTTGCTGTGTGAGCCTCTGGAGAACATTTCCCTTTCATTTCTCACCCTGAAGTGGAGAGGTAGTTATTTCATGCTAGGAGGATAAGGGAACTTTCAGAGTTTTCTGATTTGTGAAACAACCTATTATTTTATCCCCTGTCAAAGCACATTGTCTCAAGCTAACAAGAGACTATTCTAAAGGTATAAAACATGAAGGTGTTGGAGAATTGTCCTAAAGTATTTCATACAGCCCAGATGTAATTCTATTTCATAGAAAAGGGTTCAAGGCCTCTATAGTGACCATTTCCTGCTAGATTAGGAAGTTAGTAAGGCATACGAGAAGGCAGGCATTCCTCCCTTTGGTTTTCAGGGGTGATTCAGCAAACAGCATGGTTACTACTTGAAGTAAAAGTTATCAGCTAATGATATCATTAAGGCCTCCCATTATAAATGTCATCAGCCAATCACAGAGACTTCTTTGCGGCAACATTTAGCCACAAGGTATTCCAAACTGTCCTTTGAAGCAAGCGGCCTGGGTTTTCTCTTACTGCTCTCTACCTCCACTGCTTGCAAGGTCTTTTTGTTATGTCTCCTGTTCTCCATCCTACATGAAAAGCTACTGGCAAATGCAGTTATCATTTGGTTATCACCTTTGCCCTCAGTCCTACAAATAGTTCCCTCCTCCCTTTGGTATTTTTATATTGTACGTAGGGTATGGTACAGCATATGCAGAGCCATCCCTAGGGGGTGCAGGGCCCGGGACATAGGCATCGAATTTCTATCTGCCAGGGGGGTGCTTCCCCCAGCCCCCCCCCCCCCCCCCCCCCCCCCCCCGGCCCCCCCCCCACCTCGCCTCTTCCCACCCCCGCCCCACCTCTTCTGCACCCTTCCACCCTCTCCCCCAAGTGTGCTGCACCCTCGCTCCTCTCCCCTCCCCCGCAGCGCCTCCAGTCGTGGCGAAATGGGAGGGAGGGGGAGGTGCTGATCGGCAGGGCCTGCCGGCTGACAGGAAGCACTGGGAGGAGAGAAAGGTTGGGGGGGAGCTCCTCCTCGCCCCCCGCCTTTCCCCCACCTCACCTCCCCACCCACCTCCTAACCAAGCGCGGGCCCCCCCAAAGCACAAGGCCCGGGGCTGGTCGCCTCGATTTGCTGGACCCTAGGGATGGCTCTGGGCATATGTGAGGTTCCTATTTCAGGAACACTTCATTATTTTTATTCCAATAACATCCAGAATATGCTAAGCAACACACACACACACACACACTGCTCTCCCCCTCCCCACTTCAGTTGAAAAGCAGCTGGCAATGTAGTAGGATGCACATGGAAAATGGAATTGGGAAACCTGCATCATGTGATGCTGTGCCTGCCCCATGAGGCATTGCAAACCCTTCCCAAAGCACCTTGCGGCCAGTAGGATAGCTACCACAATGCACTGCTCTCTTTGCCGTTGCAAGAGCTGCTAATGTGGATGCGCTCCAGCGTCACAAGAAGCACAGTGTGGACATGCAACAGCGTTTTAATAAAAGTGGTATAACTTGTTGCGCAGAAACTTGCCAGTGCAGACATACCCTAAAAAAAAAAACCCACAAGATGAAAAACCCTTACCTGGTTTGCAAATACTTGATATTTTGCTTAACAATATGTGAATCTTTTCATCATTCAAGTCATGTAGAATTAGTGAAAGGATGTAAAGATCTGCTTCTGGAAGATTATCTTTGAAGAAGTCACCTGTTAGAAAATGTATATTTGGTATGATACAATTCTATAAAGCAAAGTGAAAGATATTTAGGGGAATATGTATGTTTATTTATAGTTGGATGTAGTTTAGGGATGCAGAATATGCAAGGTAAGATAATTTCAGTGTCAGTTTAGTTTTAATGTACATTTGATTTTGAACTTTCTTCTGCTCCAATTAGCAAGTCCATGAAAAGTTTTAGAAACAAGGAGGGGAACCAGAGCTTGCATCCTGAAAAAAATAGGGAGTCAGTAGAGGTGATGGGGACAGGTTTTTCTGTATGCAACTTCCTACATTTGCTGGAATTCAGAACTCAGAACTGGTGAGCCAAAGTAAAGGGAGTTTCAATAGTTAAGAAGACATGAAGTCATGAATAAAGACTTCAGCACTGGTTATGCACTGTGCTACACATCTAATATTTTGATTTGCAGTTACAGAAGACATGGTGAGAGAAGGACAATTCATGTCAAGAATACTGTAAAGTTTATGAACCGTGTAGAAGCCTGAGTCAAGATGTGAAATGGAATTGTGATGGTAATGGAAGTATCCTCAAGCAAGTTAATACGGCATACACAGGAGGAGTGTCCAGTCAGGCCCCTCACTGGTGTCACTTAAGCCATGTCTCCTCAGTCCACCACTATTTTCCACTCTCACCCAGTCTCTTTTTACCCTGCTGTCTTATGAGGAAATGAAGGAACATGCAAGGACCCAAGACTTTCACTCAACATGGAGGATTCTGCCTTGTGCTTAACCTTGTTTGCCCCCAGACATAGCTTCTGCTTACACTTTCGCTGGAGCAGACCAGTGTGTTCTGGCCATGCTGCACAGTGAACCAGGATTGGCAGCCTAATAGTTAGTTACCTGCTGTGAACATCACTGGAGTTATGTGCAGTCCTGAAGGCTGAAAGCAAGAGACATTTGCAATGACGTCTGGAAGGTCAAATACAGTTATGTTTAGGTTTGGGTATTTTTGTACTAGCTCATGGGCCAGAACTCCAGTGCAACCTGTAGTAAGTAAAAAATAACTAAATGAACCTTTTCCTTTGTATCTGCAGACATTTTAAAAGTTCATATTATACCTTACCCGACTACAACGGCACTAAGTTAAGGATGGGGTGGCCAAGAGACTCTACAGGGGACATGGGAGCTAGTGTTGCCTCGTGGACACAGGTCTGGAGTGGGACTAAGGAGACCTAGGTTCTATTCTTGGCTTTCCCACTAGCCTGCTGGATCTATGTGGGCAAGTCACTTACTGTCTCTGTGCCTCAGTTTCCCTGAGATTAATGACATTGACCTCCTTTGTAATCTATGGATGCAGAGCTAGGCATTATTATTACTGCAAGGTAATTCTTGTATAGTTTGAATAGTGCTCCTGTTGGGGGGCACAGGATGCAAGGAAAGGAGTAGGAGCACCAAGCTCTGTGGAGGTTCACTGGTAAAAGCAGTTCCAACCGTGGAGTGTGCTGGTCCCTATGTGCTGTCCACCCTCCCACCCCCTGGGCAGCACAGTTCTCTCAGGAACTCTCTTTTACGCAGTCTTTTGCCTGCATAATACACCCTCTCTGTGGAGGTGCAGGCAGAGCTAGCAATAGCATTAACTCCATGCTGATTCCTACAGACAGTGTGCCCTGGAGAATGGCGGTTCTCCAATTGGATCCCTTTGAGGACTGGAATTGGAACATTGCAGTGCTAAGCTACAAAACAATACCAAATACTTGTAGGGGGCATCTTGGATTTGTATCCAATTTGAGATTTTGTGTCTGAAAGTTTTAAAATTTTCTAAATTCAATTACAATTTTAACTCTAATCCAGGGATCGGCAACCTTTGGCATGCGGCCCGCCAGGCCGGGCCAGTTTGTTTACCTGCCGTGTCCGCAGGTTTGGCTGATCGCAGCTCTCACTGGCCGCGGTTCGCCACTCCAGGCCAATGGGGGCTGTGGGAAGCGGCGGCCAACACATCCCTCGGCCTGCGCTGCTTCCCGCAGCTCCCATTGGCCTGGAGCGGTGAACTGCGGCCAGTGGGAGCTGCGATCGGCCAAACCTGCAGATGCGGCAGGTAAGCAAACCGGCCCGGCCCGCCAGGCTGCTTACCCTGGCGTGCCGCGTGCCAAAGGTTGCCAATCCCTGCTTTAATCAGTTTAACATTTAGCACTTCCATAGTGCTTTTCCAAGTTCTTTACACAGGTGGATAAGCATTTTACAAGTGACCAAGGTCAAGATTTTCAATAGTGATTAGTGATTTTGGGTGTCCAATATAAGACACCTGAAAGGGCCCTGGATTTCAGAAAATGCTCTGTAAACCCTCTGTAAAGCAGGCCCCTTTAAACTAACTCAAGTTTCGCACCAAAAATAGAGGCATCCAAACGTCAATCATTTCTGAAAATCTTGACATAATTAACATGTGAAGATCACACAGTAAGGCAATGGCGGAGCTAGAAATGGAATTCCCAGTCCCAGCTACTGAACCGCATTGCTTCTCTGGGGGAAAACCCCTCCCCCACTTAACAGCCATACTCAAAGTAAATGAACAGTATTTTAAGCTAGTGTACTTCCATTTAACTTCATTTTAGCTTTCTATCAAAGCTAATAACAGCAGAAAATTTACCAGTTAGAGAGCAACAATTGTAATTTTTTATTAGATTTTCTTAAAACTATGATGTACGTATATTTCATTAATTTGTATACAAGTCAGTCTAGTAGCAATACCTCCCAAATCACAGACAGATCTAAACGGTGAAAGATCAAAAGATGTTGCCACGTCTCTTGCTGTCAATTTGGCAATGCTATGCATGGCAGTCATGAAACGCTGCTTTGCCTCCACACTGTGATAACAGGAATCCTTAAAAACAGAATACAAAGATTTTATTTATGCACTTAATTTATTGTGATTTAAACAACTGAAAAGATGCCTATCCAAGGGTCTCGGTGCTCTACCACACCATTAATACCATAACTCAATCTATGGTATTTGCTACTGTTGTTGTAGTAGCTGCATTGGTCCCAGAATATGAGAGCGACAAGGTGGGTGAGGTAATATCTTTTATTGGACTAAGTTTTGTAGGTGAAAGAGACAAGCCTTCGAGTTACACAGAGCTCTTCTTCAGGTCAGGGAAATGTATGCAGAGTGTCACAGCTAAATACAAGATTGTATTTAGATTGGAACAGATTGTTTAGCAAAAGTAGTTAACACATTTCTGATCACAGATTTCCATCACAACTTCAGCAACCACCACCCATCCATCCAACTCTCTAGAACATTCCTGCACCTGCATCAACTTCCTGGACACCACGATCAGCTTCAACAATGGAACCCTACAGACAGCAACACACAAGAAACCCACGATCACTGCACTTACCTTCACAGATCCAGTAATCACCTCAAACACACCAAGAAATTGGTTATCTACAGCCAGGTACTCAGATACCACAGAAAGTGCTCCGAGGAGAAAGTCCGAGATACACACCTTAGCACACTTAAGGATGCCTTCACCAAATAATGACATTCCACCAGGGAAGTAGATTGCATCATAGAAGAGACTACCCAAATACCCTAAAAGAACCTGCTTCAATACAGAAGTAAAAAAAGCCTCTAGCCTCACACCCCTAGTTCTCACCTATCACCACACACTGGAATTCGTAGGAGGTATCAATTATAACCCACACTAAACATGAGAAACAAGCTCCCCGTAGACCAGTACCCACCAACTCAAAGTGGCACCAGACCCTTCCAGAACAACAGGTGTAAAACCTGCAGACATACCTCCATTGCTACGATGATCAATACCTCCACAACACACCTTTCAACATCCATGGGTCCTACACATGCCTATCACAACATGTGGTTTACCTCAACCAGTGCACTAAATGCCCCAACAACAACCAGACAATCACCAACTCTCAAATAAACTCACACAGAAAAAAGCCAAAAAACACATTAACACCAGTGGGTGAACACTTTTCACAGAACAAATCACTCCATATCTGACTTCTCAGTCCTCATCCTCAAAAGGGACCTGCATAATACCTTGAAAAACATGAGCCTGGGAGCTTAAATTCATAACTTTGCTATACCTGAAAAATCATTGTCTTAATAATTGTCATTGGCTTATTACAACAATTTGTAACCCCCCTTTTTTGTCATATGACTGCAGAAGTGTTAACTGTTCACTTCACTTTGAATGGTCTCTTATAATAGATTGTTTAGCTTAAGTAGTTAACATCTGTTACACGTTGTATTTAGCTGTGACACACTGAGTACCTTTCCCAGACCTGAAGAAGAGCTCTGTGTAGCTCGAAAGCTACTCTCTTTCACTAACTGAAGTTGTCCAATAAAAGATATTACCTCACCCAGCCTGTCTCTCTAATAACTCAATCTAAGCAGATTTTAAATGATCAATTCAATAGGAACTAGCCAGCCAGCCATCTACAAGTCCTTTCCTCCCCTTCATCATTGTGGGAAGCATACCCTCAGCCCATTCTAAAAACCTGATCAAACAAATTTCTTTTCCAGCATGCTAGGAAGGTTACCAAATGCCGATTATTTTGGACTAAGCTCCAGAGTTCTGGAGACCTTCCAAAAAATGACCTGCCAACTGCCCCCTCTTTTATAAGGATGGGAATCCGGCTTGAGCACCCCTGCTGGCTGGAGCCAGGGCAGTATGGCACAGAGAAAGAGGCAATCCATCAGGGGATAACAAAATGCTTTCTTTAACCAGTTATACCTGTGGCATATGCATTTATATAATAATTAAGCTCCATTCAAGAGAGCTAGGGGTCCGTTTATACTGTAAACTTATTTTGAGAGAAAGGAGTGAATCTTTGCATCTAAATTGTTTTTGGGTTGTTTTTTCCTGCTATGTTTCCTAACTGTTTTCATTGAATGCTGACATTTATTTATATCTATAATTCTTTGTCAGCAGGAACTTCTTAGCAGGCATTATGTAACTGGAAGTTATATAAAGAAAAGAAATGGCTTCTTAACAGATTGCTTTCCTGGGCTCCAGCAGTGATTTTCAGTGCAGAGCAGAGTAGAGTATATTTTTGTATTAATCTGAAATTTCAGAGAGGCTAACTGGCTGAGCGAAAGGAGGGGGAAAAAATGGACCCAGTTGAAGAAGCGAGCGTGTTCCACCCTCTCAACTGAGAAGAGACACAGAGAAAAGATGGTAGTGTAGATGGAAGTAGACTACTGATCATGCTAGAGCAGTGTTTCTCAAACTGGGGTCGCCACTTGTGTAGGGAAAGCCCCTGACAGGCCGGACTGGTTTGTTTACCTGCCCCGTCCGATCACAGCTCCCACTGGCCGCAGTTCACTGCTGCAGGCCAATGGGAGCCGCTGGAAGCGGCGCGGGCCGAGGGACCTACTGGCCGCCACTTCCAGCAGCCCCCATTGGCCTGCAGCGGCGAACCGTGGCCAGTGGGAGCCGTGATCGGCTGGACCTGCAAAAGGGGCATCTAAACAAACCGGCCCGGCCTGCCAGGGGCTTTCCATACACAAGCGGCGACCCCAGTTTGAGAAACACTGTGCTAGAGAAAGGCAGCTAAAGTGTGTGGAGAAAGCCCAAAGAGTTTGGAAAACCTAGAAGGTAGTTTGCAATGGAATTCTGGGCCATCTAAGAAGGAATACAATCTCCCTTCCTGAGGCAGAGAGAAGTTTGGCTATAGCATTCCTGATTCCCTGAAGTTTGGAAAAGAGGAATTTGGGAAGACTATCATAGGGAAATGAAATAAAGATAAATAAATGCCTAGTAGATATACTCATTGTGAGACCGTAACTGAGTCACTTACCCTATGTATACCACAGTTTGTGCAACTGTAAAATGGGAATACTTACCTAAATGATGCTGACAGAATTGATTAGCTAATGCTTATAAAACGCTAAATTTCTTGGGTGAGAGGAGATAGTCCATGATTTTTAAAAATGTGCCAAAGCCTCTCACCATCCCTCTAAGCACAACTACATAAATGTTACACACAGAACAAGAGTAACTGACTGATGTGAAAGTAAACCGACTCAGTCTTACCCTTCAAATGTGGGTGAAACCTGAGCAAACGGTTGGGCTTTATCAGAGTGTGACCTTGGCACAGTGTACCAGGTGAATGTAGGAAGCACATTCCAGACGTGAGGGCTTTTCAATGGAAACAGCTGCCCCTGGCTTCCTGATATTCAAATCTAGAGCCTGGAAATGAGAGTGCATCAACTGATCTCCACTGCTGTCATGGTGCACAGGGAAGAAGTGTATTCTGATCCCCCAAGTTCATGCAAGCACTTGACAGGGTTGCTCAGTGTCTTCAAGTCAATATTCTCCCATCAAGGGCAGTCCAACACCTCCCAAGAGGCGCTCAGCACCTTGCAGAAAGAAACTCCTAGTCCCTACACTCCTCCAAGCTTCTTCTACACAGACAATCCATTAGCTCCTGGACCTCTGCCACCCATGCTGCTGCATGCCCTCTGCTTCCCCATCCCCCCATCAACTCCAGCCCCCTTCTGTGACAAGCGCACAAAATGCGAGAGAAAATATGGCAGGGGAGTGGCCTTTGTGGGATGTTTGTAGTGCAAAGAGAATATTGGCAAAGAGGTAAATTGTACAGTCCTTGCAAAGCTACAAATGGCATGATACATATGACCCTAATTGCACATGAGATAGAAATAAATGAGACAAATACTTAGAGGGAGACTCAAGGGAAGGAGAATTCTGAAAAATCTTTGAATCAATGCAAGGCAGATTTATAGACATGCTCAGATAAAGGAAGAATAAGTTTGGTGTCAAAGCAGATTCTGGTCAGGAGCAAAGTTAAGCTCAGATCTTGTCTCAATTCCACTATAAAAATGCTGAAATATTTCTGGTCTTCTGCTGAAATCAGTTTTGGATGACAAGCTTTCAGGAGAGATGAAGTACATATGTTGTAGATATTAATTCTGGGTTTTGGTAACTACACTGTGACATTCCAATTGCCTCAGCACCCTACCGCCCAATCCTGCACCATTAAAGTTAATGTGAGTTTTGCCATTGACTTTAATGGGAGCAGGATCAGGGCCTTAAAGAGTCAAATATATTGGTATTTGAGACATTTCTGATCGTTTATTCACATTCCTAGATTATGATAATCTGTGTGACGACATGCTCAATCTACAATTCTCATTAGTCAATTTTTCTGGGCCCTATGGTTTTTCCAACTTGATAATGATTTCCTGTTCTTCAGTGCACAAGTAGCATAAAGACAAAATAAGGACCAGAGTCTGCATTACCTGAAACAAGTCCTCTGTTTCCTTTCCAAAAGCCTGATGGGTCTGCATGGTCCCCTCTTTGACAGCAGCCTCCAGGTGTGTAAAGAGATGCCAAAGGCGGTCATTACAATGGATAATGTAACCATGAAGTGAATATTCTCTGTCCGACACCAGATATGTGTTCGCTGAATCTGTATTACTGTAACCTTAAGGGGTGGGAAAAAACCCTGTTAACTAGTTTTTTTGCAGTGTTGTAGCAGCAGCCATGTAACTAGTCACTAGTTTTGCTATACAAATCAGTATAATTTTCAGTTAAATGTTTGCGGTAAGATTCTCCTCTGGTGTAGTATGGACAGCTCCACTGACTCCAGCAGATTTACACCAGCTGAATACCTGCCTCTTGATCTGCAACATATTTAATTAAAAAAAAAATCAAATTACATTTGCTTTGTTCAGTCTGTACACACTGTCCAGTTGATTTGCATAGCCATACGTTATCTACATCACAGCAAGTTCAACACAAAACAGCAATTTGCAGTTAAGATACCAAAGAATAGATTTAGATGTTCTTTCTTTTCATGTTACAGATGTGACACAAACCAGAAGTTATTACTGAGAAAAGCCCAGCTCCCTGCTCGTAATATGTCTCAGTGATTGTGAAATTAAAAGTGCTCTCTTTTTTAATTGGATTTTAAAAGCCAATAAGTAATGTGTAGTAGTAGTAGTGAATATTTATTTTATGACAACACTCAAAGGCCCCAATCAGGATTGGAGTGTCACTGTACTAGGTGCTGTACAACCATAGGGTATGTCTATCCTACAAACCTAAGCTGACCTATATTAGATCGATTTACAGCCACTGCAGTAATTACTGTGGTGGTGCATGTCCACACTACCATCCTTGGGTCAGTGGTGTGCATCCACCGACCTAAGACGTGTGTGTGTGTGTGTGTGTGTGTGTGTGTGTGTCTGTGTCTGTGTCTGTGTCTGTGTCTGTGTCTGTGTCTGTGT